CAGTTTTTTGATTTCCTAGATCAAAGTAAACTTACTTTAAGACGATGTCGACATTTCGCTACCGATCTGCACATTGCGGCGCATAAAATTTATATATTCTTTACAGATAAGCGAAGTGATTTATATTCAAACTTCAAGTCCGCAATTTAAAGATTTCTAAGAAAACAAAATATTTGAATTTATATGAATTACATAAAATTATTTCATTTCATTTTATCAAAAATTTTATATAATTTTGTATGATATTGTTATTAATTTTGTTGTTGATTGTATCATTGTTTTTTTATAAACAAACAAACGCCAAATTTGAGTCTACCTTACATAGCTCTCACACATATAGTTCTCAAGATACGCCTCTCAAACGAGGGATAGTTAAATAAAAGATAGGTATTTAACGCCCAGATGATTCGCCGCGTTAACAACAAAAATCGTAATGTGAACGCAAGGCTAAGGAAACTTGCGCTCTCCTAAAAATCACTATTCAATGGTACAAACTTAATTTCAAAATAGGTAGGCAATATCGCGACAAGGCATTTTAGGCTATACCTATCACATCTTTAAGTAATTTACAAAGAAAATTTATATAGAAAGTTTATTACCATGTATATGCACACATGCACGACGTTTTTTTTTGAGAATAAAAGCATTAAGAAGTAAATTGTATATAAAAAAAAGCTGAAAAGCTTGAAATACACCTTATTTGAAAATATTAGTTTCTTTTTATATATATATATATACATGAATGAAGAAGTCTTTCCGAATAAAAAATAAATAAGGACGTTTTGCTTTGTTTGTGCATGCCTTAATTTCATTAAAGATTGTACGTATTGGAATTTAAGTTTGAATATTTAGTGCGATTGGAGTTTGCCATGCCTGTATGCTAACAGAATGTTCCATTTCTTATGATCTCATAATGTCAATAAGAGTAGTTGTGTAGTGGCAACCCAGTCTTAGTAGAAAGAAAAAAAAACACTTATCCTAACATCCATTCGTATGAATGTACAATCGTTAACAAAAAAAAGGAAAAGTACTTTTGAAAATTATTGTTGAATATAATTATAAAATATAAATAATTTGAAAAGAGAAAAATAGATTATTAATTTGTAAAAAAGTGTGCAATAAAGTTATGTATAATTTGCTAGTGCTTGTGATAAATTTTATTTATAATGCTAAAGGTAATAAGACAAACAAACAATCTTATTCTATGCTAATTGGGGAAAAAAGTGAAGATAAAATGTTTGTATAAGTATGTGTCGTGTATATAAGTTCAAAAAGATATGGGCGGAAGAGAAGTTTTTAATCTCCTGCTTCATTGGTGAATAACGTTAGGTGAAAAATGATTTAATCCATTTCTATAGAGACAAGCTAGAAGACAATAATACAAAGTTTAACGAAAATCATGAAATTTATAAAATTTATCTTTAGATATACATAGTGCGTGTTTGCCAGTCCATCCGTTTGTGTACAAAAGTGTGAGGGCTTGTCCATGACCAGAGTGAAGCCCTTATCTAGTTAAATGTTATGCCAAAGAACGAAAGTAAAAAAAAATAAATCCATGGCACACATTTTGATGCTGTTTATTATTTTGCGTGAGTTTCTGCGCGCCTTCAGAGAGAATTTTCGTTATAATGAGAAAACAGGAGATCTAAGAAATATAATAACTTTTTTTTATATATAAAGGCTTATGTTAATAACAGGTTGAGAGTAAAAGTTTTTTAACGAAACACGAGAGATGGAGTAGTTGTTGTTGTCCTTGCTATTAATGTGTGCGTATGTTTAGGTGTGGGTAGTTTTGTTTTTATGTATTTCAGCAGAAACGTTAGCTATGGAATATATTAAAGGATATATATCCATTGTAATATATAATTGTACACAGTTAACGAAGTTTCACTTGGAAACATCATTTTGACGTTGGTATTGTGAGCTGTTGTTTTTGTTGTTCCTGCTGTTGCTACCGCTCTTGTAATTGCAGTTGTTCGTTATGCGTCTATATTACTACACATGTACACACTATGTGCTTTTGCTTACTCCACCGATTAAATCTGTAAAATTCATACATTGTAATCGAACACCACTTCCGCATTCTAGGACTTTCAGTATAGCGAACAGTGTCAGGCGTTCTGAAAACATCTCTAAACAAAAAACATAACATTTCTCACATCCTCATTAATCGCTTAATGACTTTTTTGGGTTTTAAAAGAACATCTTCGGCTTATTTCTTATAAAAATATAACCGATTTTAACTTTTTGTGATTTCAATACAACTTCCTGGGATTATTTCTTATAAAAATACAACTGATTTAAAATTTTTTTGGTTTCAATACACGTTCCTGGGATTGTTTCTTATAAAAATACAACTGATTTCAACTTACTTTTCTTCGCAAGCACCGAATCGCAGTGAACGCAATGAACGCCCAAAAGGGATTTGGCTACATCACAAGATAACAAAAAGCAGAGTATTCCCTATTTTATAGGAAAATTTGGTCATCGGGAAGTTGCTTTCTTAATAATGCTTACTCACAGGACAACAAAAGGTCACAAAAGAGTGGTCAGATTTGATTTGGATTGACCAATGAGGTCATTTTGGAAACCAGAGCGTGTTTTGAGAAGCTCGCTTTATAAAAGAGATATGCCAATGTTAAACGAAAGCTGGAATGTTTATATTAGTCTAGTGAGGGTGAATTTAAAAAAACAAAATTTACTTTTATTTTATTAAATTGACTTCTTACTAAATTTTGTATATAGAAAAAATAATTTTTGCTTACTAGCGGAAATTATCAAATTTTAAATACAGTTAATGAACAACGGTAATTGGAATAGGGATGGCGCTAAAAAATTTTTTTTTCATTTTTACTGTTTTCGTGGCACGCATGCTTACGTTTCTTTCTGCAGGTATAACTGCTAATTGTGGAAGACGGTACCAGCGTATATGTGACATTTTTCCGCTTTTTTAAAACAAATTTGGGGTGCTATCAGAAAACACTGTTTGTTTCTAACCTTACATTTCCATTGCAATATTTCTAGCCATTTATTAAATTATGAAAAAGAGAAAGTGCTGAAAACTAACATGGCACAATTTATATCTAATTAAGGTTATATTGCAGAAGCAGAAGTTACTGGCAACTTATATGCATGAATGTAAAGAGGGTTTAGAAAACTAGTAAATAGTAGCTTTATGTTTAAGTAAACAAAACTAAAACTAAGACAAGGTATAAGCCAATTATCTTTACTTATAACAAAAAGCAACAACGCTAAATACATCGTGAGGTAGCGCGAGTAAAGATAGAATTCGAAGATAGATTGTTTACTTCTCCTTTAATTTGCCAGAATTCGAAGATAGATTGCTTACTTCTCCTTTAATTTGCCAAAAAATGGGCACAATCGGACGCTTAATGTAACTGTTACTATACGAGGGTGCTGCTCACCGTATTTTGTTATCTCAGAAATATACCTTGCAGTGTTCCTTAAGTTGCACAAAAACCGAAAATTCTATGATAGTTTTAGCCGAACAGTCCAAAATAATTGCTTTTTGAACTGATAGATGGGTAAGCCTATGCTAATATTCAGAATATCTAATGGAGATTATACTGTTAAAAATTAGCTTTAAAGGCTAGAATAGCTTTTCCACATGCTTTCATGTCTACTAGATTCTTATTTTTTGGCGTTGCATCTAGTCGTTATTTCAGCTAGTTCAAGTTTGGTACCGGGTGGACATTGCCGTGACTATAATGGGAAATTGTATGAAACAGGAATGCATTACATGCCGGGCCCCGATTCCTGTCGTCTTTGTATTTGTGACAGCGGTCTGCCAAAAGCTTGTAAAATGGTTTTATGTGAAGCATTCACAAAATGTAAATCATTTCAAACTGTTGGAAGTGGTAATAATTGCTGTGAAGTAATCTGTCTCGATGACCAATTTAATGATGGCAGTACGGATTTCGGTATATGACTGGTAGCCAGCGGTATTACAGCTACCCTTTCGCTGTCTCTACTATTTTTCCTAGTTAACCGTTTACGTCAAAGAAAAATACGAGCGCGTGAATCACGGCAAAATACCGAAGATCAACGAAGTATAGTTGGGAGTATAGGGTAAGCTTGTCAAGCATAAATACTATTGAAAGGATATTTTTACCACAAAGTACGTTTTAGATATATTGCGGGCAATATGGGTTACATGGAGGGTAATCTAACCAGCATGGATTACTCATACGGAGGGACTGCAACCCATTATCCTCTATGGAAACCTCCTAGTGGCTACTTTCCGCGTGGAGAAGCACCGCCGCCTTATGAAGAAGCAGTGGCTATATCTCAAGCAGAAGCTTTGAGTGCACAATGCGCTGCCGCGGCCGCAGCGGCTGCTGCCACAGTTGCAAGTCCTCGTCCAATGAGTGCGGTAGAATTGCAATCTTCAGCCGACATCAATAGACGCCCGCAAACGGCTGCAACGATGCAACAGCTGCAGCATTTGCAACCTCACCAATCAACGTTGATGCCACAACAAACTTCTCAACATTCTGTTACGCAACCTCATCAAGCTCCAGCTCACAATGTAATGCCAATTCATCATGTGCTAGGTGCTCCACCGGCACATCAGCAAACCCAGAGTCATCAAATAACGCAAAGTACTACAAATTTGATTAATATCAATATAAATAGCGGTGGTAATATAACAACTATAGCTACTGGTGAAAATCATCAACCGCCTTACAGTCTTCAAAATGAACAAAGTACGAATAATCTGATGCAAGAACAGCAGCAACAGACGTCCACAACGCAGCAGAATCCTCAGCAGGCCATTAACACTTCAAACGTCAATTCAAATAATAATAGCAGTCGACTTCACCTTGCTCAAAGCAATTCCATATGTGTGCAGACTATGACTACACAGCCGAATGTGCAACAGCAAAGCCAACAATCAACTATTGCACAAACTCTTAACTCTTCGAATATTTCCGGTTCTATAGGCATATCTGCTAGCGGTAAGCAAACAGCTGCTACTGAGTGTGGGTATAAAAATTGCCATTTAAATACTAGTGTGACAACCACAACAACCGGCACCAATGCAAGACGTACGCAACGGTTACCAGAACCTCTGCAACAGTATGTAGTAGATGTTGAAGTAAACGTGGGAAATGCTACTGGAAGTGGTTATCATTCTTTGTCGTCATGTTCCACTAACCCTGCAAACGAAGGAGAGTTCGATTTAATAGCGTCACCTACGCAATTTGGCAATGATTCTCAACTGACCAATGCTCTTTCAACACCGACCATAGATACTTTGATTCCCACCAATAACGCAATTGAAGTGGCAACAAACAATACAGTGGCGGATGCAAACAGTCAATTGCACAACACAGGCCATCATACTTTACCCACCCAGAACACGCAAATTGCTAAATCAATACCATCTTCGTCTGCGAATGCAGCCACCACCAGCAAAGCATTTTCTTCTTCAAGACGCTATCATCGGACAATGCCCCGTTATTATACTGCTGCCGACCCTCTAACTAGTCGAGATAATCAAAACACTGCCGCCAACACTATCATCAATACGAACAAGTCGAGCAAACAAATTGAATCTAAACAAGCATCTATAAATAACGCCAATTCAGTGGCAACGACGGCAAGCAGTAATCATAATAGCTCGAAGAAACCGACCTGTCAATGTCCGATCCAGCATGTGCCTATGTCTTATATGGGCAGCACCCACTTAAATTCGCACAACGTTACAAACAACGCCTTCTTTACGGTATTAAGTAATAATAAGCTTAACACAGGCACAGTTAGTCGAATCAGCAATACTAGCAGCAATGCCAGCTCGTTACCTTATGTTACTCAAAGATTGAATAAAACTTTACAAAATCATTTAAACAATACGACAGAAAGTAATGTGGTTAGCAATACCAATAGCAACTCGAAACGTGGAACCCTTCAGTCTCATTGTAATTATGAATCAAAAATTGCCACCATTTCTACAGGAGAACTAGTAAATTCTGCTAGTAACAATATTGCTGCAGCTCATCATCATCATTCACATCACAGTCACCATCATGGACATCATTCATCAGCTTCTCTATTGCCTCCACCTCAGCATCATGACGATTCTTCATCGTTAGTGCTGGGTCGTGTTGCAAAAAGGTCTAGCAGCAACAGCAGCGATCGCTTCCGAAGTGCCAGCAGTGGCAGCACTAGAAATCCAACAAATGAGGCAGCAAGCATTTCGGCTGCTTACTTGAACAGTAAGGTGAGTGCCTTCTTTGATTAGTTATGTATTTTACGTTTGGACACTTGGATCACCATCCGATAATTGAGTTTAAGTGCTGCTCCGTGCGCACAGTTTTTGTCTGTTTGTCTTAATAATAGTAATAATTAGAATTGAGGTTAATATCTACAGTAAATGTTCTTCTGTATTAAACGTTTCTCAGTAGTTTTGTGTATGTATAGTATGCATAATATCTAATTATTTTTTTCCATGTTAATGTGCAACCGTTTACAACCAGACGCTTTTTTCGTTGCGGTAGCAATCTTGTAAGATACTTTGAATCAATCGAAAAGAAAGTGCTTAGTCATTTCACAGAAAGCGGTCGTTTATTACTAATCACTTCACTGACTGACTCATGATGCGTGCACGTTTTTGGTGGCCTCGGGTCGAATGTTCAGCTAATATTTTCTCGTCATCCCATTTTGTATAACTTTGTTTCAAATATTCGTGGGTGTCCATTAGTAACATTCGGCTTAAGCCGAATGCATTTCAACCATTAAAATTTATTACTTTTTCTTTCACCAACCTTTTAATTGTGATAACTTTGTCATTTTACAGAACATCACTTCATTTCGCAGACAATAAAAAAAATCATTAACTATGCTCACAGCACTTCAAACGATTGTTGTTGTTGTTGCACCTCTCACTTTATTCATTCACCTTCATTCTAAGTCTCTTTCTGTCTTACGTACAATTTAATCTCTCATAAAAATTGTTATCATGTATGTAAAATGTATGTTTGTATATTCTTTTTGAACTAACTCTTCGTGATTATCGGCCAGGTTGATGCCTATTTGAATTTAAGTCATGCAACGACTTCACATCATCGTGCCGCAACAAGAGTGAATGACTTAATGAACCCAGCGTTACCACCGAAACTGCATAAAAGCTTGACAAATCTAAAAAGTTCAACATTAGCACCGAACACACCGCACCACGCAGGAAAAATAAATACAAGCAATGAATTATTTAAACCCAGTAATGGGCAGCTGTTGCATAGTAGCAACATAAATAACAGTATTAATACTCAAACCACCTTAACTTCAACCTCCTCTACCTCTTCATCATCCCCTTCCTCTTCGAATCTCGGCTCGCCGCAGACGTCTTCTAATTTATCCACTACATCTGTACAAACTATTTACACTTTAAGTAAGCCTTCAACATCGTCGGCAATTACAACGTTGAACGCCGTGGCAGCCGCACATGCACGTAACAGAGATCACGACCATTTGAATTTAAAAATTCAACCACCAATTTTAACGTTGCCATCAAGTTCATCAGCGACAATGTCTTCAACGATATCGGCAAGTAACTCTACTGGAGGAACAAAAATAAATTCGTCTACATTTTATCCACTACAAAATAACGTGACTTACACTTTGCCCAAGAACATAGCTGGAAAAATGTCGCTAAATAGCACTATTAACAACGTGGTCAGCAAAGTGCCATCAGTTATAAGTTTACCGGCAGCAGCGTCGTCGAAAAATAATCAAGAGAACACTGCCATCACCGTCGCAGAATCTAGTAGTAATGAATCTAATTCCACTGTGATTTTAGCTTCTGTTAAAAGTACTACACTGCCAAAAGTGTTACGTTCGAAAAAAGATTTCTTGCAACCAAATAATGCAATCAACAATAGCAACAATGTCCTAAACAATTGCGCTGCTATTGTAAGCTCTACTGCGTGTGCCGTATCTCAGTGTAATATGCCTGCCTATCCTAAACTGTTTGACACTTTTAATAATTCCATTCCGCTCATTTCTGTTTCCACTTCTTCATTATCATCTTCCTCCCAAGCTATTACAAGTACTACTACTACTAACGTTGCCATCACAACTAGACAACAATGTATTAATATGCAAACTCAAACCATCACATCCACTTTGGCGGGCAATTCATACGTAGATGATTTCTTTACGTGCACTCCAGTAACCAGCAATTCTGTCACATCAACTTCTAGTGGAAATTGTAAGCAGGCCACTTTGCCTGTTTGCACTACATCAAAAAATTACTTAAATGGCAAAGAGCATTTTCTCCCAAATGATACAAGTCTTGATGACGACTATCTTAGTGAATGTGAAAATTGTAAAATTGCTCAAAGCTCGAAATATTACTTGGATACCGCTGCATTATCATCAACTCCGCAAGAGACGATGACATTGCAAAGGAAATCTTTGGAAGAGAATAAAGAAGAAGCAGAAACTGGATATTATCGTATATCACATACACTGCCGTCGAACTCGAAAAAGAATACGTACGTAGACATTCAACTTTTGCAGAACAATTGATCAATTTTAAAATTAAACTATTCGCAAATTTCGAAAGTAGCATAATATTGAGCTTTGTAAGTTGCATTTAGGTCCCTTTCGACATACAAATATACGAAATTAATGTCTAATCCAGCTCCCAAAATGTGTTTGTGTAAAACTGTCAATTTTAGCGATTTAATAAAATTCGAAAGTCGAACCTTTCTATTTCTTTAGAGCATCTGTAACTTATATAGTTATTGACAATGTCTGGATGATCAGATTTAACACGTCACCTTGTATAGTAACTACTCGTCTACGTCTTTCGATACGGGTATAACTATCCACTGCCACGATTCTTCACGTTTGATTACAAATGCAGAAAAAAAAACAACATTTAATTAGTTACATAAACACGCCTACTTTTTTATTGCTTACGAAATATCACATTTGCAACCACTTTGGGTCACTGAAAGGTGCTGCGTGTATCAATGATAAAGCTCTCAACGTGACGGTCTGATATGAATGAAGTCACGTTTTTGCCGTGATTCGACTATTTGTTGTTGGCACCAGGTATTTTCATCGATTTATCGCCAAATTCTCTCCAAGATTTCAAATTAACTTTTAAATCTAATTCGAGATTTGCAATAGATTAATTCAGTTCGGCACGCTAATTTTCGAAAGGGTAACATTCTATAGAAAAAAAACTGTGTTATTTGACACATTCACTATCCTCGCTTTTAGTAACACACTCTAGTAGTACACTCTGTATATTCTCATCAATAAGAATATGAGTTGGTCGTCTGCAGTTTCGAAACAGAAGGGAAATTTAATAATATTATCATCGACTATAAACTTGTGCTGCAAATGTTGGCTTCTTGGCATTCCGAAAATGAATAAACAACGAAGTAAGTTTTAAATATTTATTTCAAAATTGGCTTGAAAACGAACAGCACTTCCTCTTTTGATAGCGATTGTTTAAAGTCGAATTAGAGATGTTATACGTATTCGAAAGGTTCATTTACTTATTTCTGATATACTATTCTCTTTATTGTAGCCCCCTTAAAAGTATCAATAATCGTGAACAATGGTTTTCAACAATACCAGCGGCCAGTTCATCATCTGACGAAGACATTAATGAATGATATTTAACACATTTCCTTTAAATTTAGCAATCCACCAAACGCAAGTCCCACAATACCAAAGTTTAGTATAAATGTTAATTTTAAAGAAAAACAGTTATAAAAAAAATTATTTAAAATGAAAGCCTGAGAAAAAAAAAAAAATGTGCAGTAAGAACTTAATTGTTAGAAAGATGATTCATTATAAAATTTTTAAAATTTGGTTGAAAACAATTAAACATAATTGAAAGTATGTGTGCAAATGTAAATGTATGTATATAAAAACGTCTTAATTTGTGACATATTTAGGCTCTCTACTATGAAAGAAGAGGACTTGAGGTTTTAATATATAAGCGATTTTCAATACGTTGGCTTAATACATTTACAAAACCATTGTAATTAGTAATAAGGAAAAAAAAGTCATTTATTTATACCCTACTCTGCTTGTCAATGTTTTTAAGTAGTACAGAAAATTGAAAATGTTTCGCTTTTGATAGTATTGATCGAATTCGAAGCATGTTCACCTTTGATCAATGATATTGATTATTCTACTTTCTAGGAGTGTCTTTCGTTCAACATTTTAAACAAGTTAACAAGTTTGTTAAAGCTAACGATAACTGTGTTGTAAGAGTAATGGTTGACTAAGGGGTCTATTAATGTTTGTGATATCAAGAACAAGCCCCAAGAAGCCTTCTGACTGTGACGCTTTTATGAGAGCATGACTGCATTCTAGTGTTTGTCCTTTGTAATTTCGGATATTATTATTATTATTAATTTAGCCAGAATAAATTAATTCTGAGATTAAAGTCTTGAAGCACTAGCATCTAAAGCTATCGGCGTTATTGAAAAAATTACCCCACTTGAGTTTTTAACCCACGACCATTGACTTGTTAATCGCGATCCCTTACCTTCTCGGTCACTAAGGCAGATAATAGGATAATCTACGAAATTTAATGTGATTTCTTTGTAGGTTAATTGGTCGCCAAATGGATCTCCTAATAAATATGGTTTAATCCTCCCCGTCATCATTATCATTATCATCAAGAAGTATCGTGCGTCGAAGTCTGTAGAGCTTTAATTTTGTGGTGAAGCAGAAAGTTTTTTATGGATGACTTAATTTGATCAGGTATCGTGGGTTACATTTTATAAGACGAATATTCTCTTGCTGTATAATAACGAATTCCTTTTGGCAGAAAACAAAAGCGGGAAGCTAGTCCTTTGTCATATTCACCATTGTCAAGATTATTCGTTAATGGTCGAGGTAGTAGGTTTTTTGCGTAAGAGATTGCATAGATTAGAAATATTTCGCTGTAAAACTATGAAAAGGAAGGTGTTACAACCTCGGATCCATCATAGGAAAAGGTAATGCTCGGGTTTGGACTGGTTTTTTTTAGTTTTTTCATCTTTTTCATAGTCTTATAGCCATGGTAGAAACTTAGCCGTTCAAAATTAATCTGCTCTACAAGAGCGATGATGGATGCTGGCTGTAGTTTTGAGCCTTGTATAGTCTAGGCGTCTAGAAGGACATTTAGAGAGAAAGAGACATGGTTAACTTAATACGTTTCAAATTTTCACAGCGGATTAGGGTAATAAAATATCGATCTTCTTTAGTTAATAATATAATTATTTGTTCTCTTATTATAATTTTATCATTTTTTATAACATTAAAACTAAGTACATCAATTTAACTCACTCCAAACATCGAACAGCGAGAAAGTAGTTATATATAAACCGTGTAATGTGTCTGCAATTTTTGATAACTTTTACATGTACGGAAAGATTAGTGAACATCTATCACATCACTTTTTTTTTGTAACGAATTGAGACACCGAGAAATGTGGTTCATATGTCCAAATGTTTTTGTTATTCTGGTTTTGGAGATGCTGATGACATGTAACTATTTCCATCTAAAAGAGTCAATTTGACGCAACTTTTTTTGCAATTGCCACAGCCGCGGAAATGAAGATAAAAAGCTAAGTTAAGAAGAAAACGCACGTTAAAAATTCAGTATAACCTGACCACAAACATGTCTATAAGATATAGATGAAGCAATATCGTTTTTTTTTGTAGAGTGACTTGCAATCGCGACCAATTGCCAGGCAGATATTCGAACAGGTCCAAATTGGTTACGATCGTACCACGCCGATAGTACTAACACGGGCACAATTAACGATTAAGATTGTTTCCAAAATTTTCAAATATACGCCAATTGTGTGGAGAAATTGCAAACGATTATAATTATAATTAGCCTTTCGAATTTAGCGTCTGCATCTGTCGTAGAGTCTTCATCAGACGACAACTTAGGGGTCCTATACCGCAGCTGGGGAGCATGATAGATTGGTACTCTTTAAAATTTTTCCCTTTAGACAACGGTCGCCTTGCTGATGTTATTATACTTGTTCATACATTCGGATTCCTTAAACACCCTGGACGGCCAACCAACTTTTTTCGCCATGGATTTTAAATGTACAATGCCAAGGATCCAATCACAATACTTCCTCTCCCCATCAATAGCACACGGCACACACGCTTTTAAACAATCTTGAGTAGTGAAGTAGTCTGTAAGACGACGATTTCCGTTACTTTCCAAGATTTCTTTGAGCTTGTTTTCTACTATAGGCGTGCTTAAACCTGATGATGAAACACATTTAAATCGCAACTGCGGCAATTTCACAAAAAAAAAAAAAAGTAGAGAAGTAAGATGTGGGTAGTTCTTAAATTTGACTCCAGACCAATTCTATGATATACATAAAAAAAGGAACACTATTTAAAAATTTAAATGAAGCAAAAGATAATATTAACTGTCAAACGAACACTTTCTATCTCACACTTACACTGGATATAGACAATTTTAAACAAATTTATTAATCAATAATAAAAATACATAAACATATGCTCGTCTATAAAACAAACTTATAAAATATATTAAATTTAAAACATAGAAGAGATATTAATAAGGAACAATAAAACAATGAAAAATTTATAATGTCATTATCCCACCACTATCCATACAAACACATACATACAATTCATACACAAAGAGCAAAAAAATAAATAAGTAAATAAAACTGAAAGCAATCGCCATAGAATTTATATAAAAAAAAGGTGATAAATAATAATAAAAAAAAATTAAAAGCTATCTGAAAAAATCAAATAGTCTTACAAAAAAACTAAAACAATAAATAACGTAATTTTATCAGAAGGAAAGTTAAAATGTTCTTTAAAAAAATATGAGTTCAGTAATCTCTGCCAACAATAATAAACCATACAGCATTTAAAAGGGATATAAATGAAAACGTAGCCAAAAAAATTAAACCTTTAATATCGCCTGCCTCGTAAACAGTTCTTTCTCTTCTCACCGTCATTCAGAGAAACCAAAAAAATTAAAAAACAATTTCCCATAATACTGCTGTAAACAAAACGAGAATCATGTAAACATAGGATGAGTGTTAAAATAATACGTAAGCAAAACTTAGACTTAGCTACTATAAGAAGAAGAAGAAGATTTAACTGCTAAAACTTTGAAATGCATATTGACAGCAAAGTGCGATATTTTTCAAGCGGTAATAAACTAAATTTGTATTAAGTATATATTTAATTTATTATGTATAAAATTTATTCCCCTGATCTGGGAATAAGCGCGGCCTCATTGTGTTTACAGCCTTGTACGTTAATAAAATTCGCCGTAGGCGGGTGGTCTCTAAACACTAATAAAATGGTAAGGAAGGGAAGAGAAACAACTTGGGCTTATTAATTGATTGTTTTCAATTGGAGAGCCTCGTCCACTTGGAAAATACCGGCTTTGCATAATCGTTGGCCTTGCATTTTTAAATTTGCCTTCAGTATTTCTGAGTAAATCTAAATTTTTTTGAATTAGAACTGCTATCCAAGCTTTCATTTAGACAAGTCTCCTCTCCTCTCTTTGCCAAGTTCAGGCGTAGCCTTCCTCCCATACGATGTAAATGTCTCGAAGAAAAGTGAGGAGGGCGTTACCTTCGGAGCGAATACTACCTAAATATTTCGCGGAGTTCGCGTAAACCATTTGTATACATAATCGTTTTCGGTTTGTTAATTTAAGAGAAAAGGGATTGACTTCTGTGAAAATAATAAAACAAAAAACAGGAAAAATTATGACTTCGAAAAGTGAAATTTCTTTTTAAATGAGCTCTAGCTTGGAATTTTGCCTTCAAGTTTACTACAGTGTAGGCTGTTCGAAGCTCATTGTATGGTACTGGTTTAAATTTGGTACACCGAATTTAGGTAATTTATTTTATAATAGAATTCAGCGTCCGCAATATAACGTATATTTGGATAGGCTAACAAGAACTTGTAAATTCTTTGGTTAATCAAATAAAAACTAAGTCGCAGTTACTTTATGGCCTCCTTCAAACCGATTTTTTAAATCATAGACCGGATTAGGAATTTTTTCGTACTCGTCATTCTTGGTGATAAGCTTTAATTCCCACATGTTTTTATAGTTTATGGCTTAATGTTTCGATCTCTTGTTCTTCGCAAGCTCTGCAATCTGCACTTATGTGCATAAATTTTTTGGAGATAGCAAAGCTCGAAATTCGCATTGTATAGCTTGACTTTGAGGCTAAACCCTTACGTACTTTGTATTGTTACACTTCGTACGATAATTAAAGATTTTAGTGAAGTTTGTCGATTTAAAAACAAACCAAAACGAGCATTTAAACCTTAACACAAATTTAATAGTATTACTGCACCGCAACAAGTAAAATGAAATCGAATCCAAAGAATTAAATTAAGCTTAAAAAAATAAAAACGCATAAACAACAAAAAATAAAACAACTTTTTAAAAAATTTATTTCTTACATACATAATAGCTCTCACTTTAAATTTTATTTGAAACTTGCGCACAACAGTTAAGAAAAGTTAATTTTAAATAAAAATTTCGAAACAGAGAAAACAAAAGCAAAATGCTAATGTGAACAAGTTGTATTCTATTTACAGAAAAAGTTTATATTCTAAAGAATCTTTTCTTTGCATTCCAAATAGAAATT